TTGTAAGCGGTTAAGTAAAAAGGAGAAAGAAGTGGGGGTTGGAAGACATGCACACACGCACGCACCCTTATTACAACATTGTGCCCTCTCGACGGAGGGTCCGAATTAATAAGCTAAGCTAAACTAAGCTAAGCTAAGCTAACTAATCTAATTAAGCTAATTAGACTAATTATTACAAACCAATAAAGAAATAGCTAAACTAAGCTACTTAATTATTACAACACTTAATTAATTAACAAATTAATAAAATACACAAATTGAGATGCTAACTAACATGTGAAGCACCAAACTATGATGCCTCAGCTCTGTTCCAAGAAGTTGAACATGCATGCTCGCATTCGGTTTCTTGCTGTTAAAACTTACCAAACCAATGCTGGGGAGTGCACCAGTGGCCTGTCGGCCATGAGGAGTTGCTGTCGGCCATATGCCGGCCAAAGATGGGCTTGTGCCGGCCAACAATGAAAGGGTGTCGGCCATCAGTGTGGCACTGCCGGCCACTGGTATGTTGTGACACCAAACTACAATAGAGCACAAAACAGAGGAAATGGAGGGTCTCCCTAGGGCATGTATGTACTGTGCCACTCCTTATCATCTCAAAACATCAAGGGAGAGGCACTATTGGATCCAAAACCACCAGCCAAGCATCTCAATGCATGATGGCCAAGGATCCGACTTGCACATATTCAATAAATGCACAATAAACAAGACTCTAAGACCACAACCTTATCATGGATGATCAAAGGCAATGGAGACAAAGGGAATTGACTCATTTTCATCACTTTGAGTATGAAATGGACCAATTCACCTTGTGTTCAATATAACGTCCGATTGAACACAATGCAATGCAAATGCATCATGCTTATCTTGCCATGTTTTACTTGTCCAATTCTTGTTTACACATTTTAGTTTACCAATTAGTCCCTTTACCGGTTAAGTCCAATGTGATAAGTCCTTTAATTTGAAAGATGGTCTAAGCCACAAGCACCTTGAGCATGAAAGAAGCCTCATGCTTTTGGTTAGTAGAAACCCTCAAGAGAAGGCTAAAACCATTAGGCATGAATGCCTCAATTTCATGCTCAAGCCAACAAGGGGCTCAAGACCACTTTCAAAGCAAATGAAAGAGTGAAGCACGGAGTGCAATGGCGTACATTTCAGCACTGAAATGACATGCTAAATGACTTAAAATCATGCAAACAAACCATGCACAACATGTTAAGAGCCAAAAGCATTGAAACTAGTGAAGGACACAACACTAGAGGTATGCAATACAAAGCTCAAATGACCAAACCAGCTCAAAATAGAGCTGCATCATGCCAAAACTGTGGCCTAAACATGCTGGAATTGAAGCACAAAATGCAAGAAAAGCATGCTCACTTATTGGCTCACAAGCAAGGCATCAAAGCACAACTCTCAAAAACAATGAAAGAGTGATATATGTGAGAGTGTGACAGAGGTATATGCTCTAAAATTACATGCTAAATGATGCTATGGCATGCAAACAACCCAAGCAAAGCATGCTTGAAGCCTTAAATCACAAAGCTAGTAAAGGCCAACTCTACTATAGTTATACAAAGCAAGCCTCAAAAGGCCAAGACCACTCAAAACAGAGTTAAAGCATGCTAAAATATGAGCAAAAACATGATGGAGGTGTAGACACCCCATTTTTTACCAACCTTAAGACTCGAACGCGACTGATGGTTTACATGGTGGAGAAAAGTGTGCAGGGGAAAAGTTCAGTTTCTTCGGCAATGAGAGAGTCAAATCTCAACTTCATACCCCTTTTTGGACCAAAACAATCTTGATCAAAAGATTTTAGACCTTGAAACCCTCTCTTTCAAAATATTTTGAAAATAAAGTTCCTACGATGTTACGACGCTCGAATTTCGTTAAATGTTGCGCTTTTCGGTAAACCGAGCAAGGACAAAGTGGAAATGAATGAAAGAGAGATGAGATCTTTGAAAAATATTTCAAAGCACCTTACTTAGGGGTTTGGATTTGAAGAAAAGAGGAGAAGAGAGAGGAAAACTAGTTTGGGAGAAGTTCGTCATGAATCCGGGTAGGACCGAAACTGCGCGGCTTCACGGAAATGGGCATAACTCTTTGCACAGGGGGAATTTTGATGCAAGGTTGGCTCTGTTGGAAAGCTTACTTCCGGGAATTCATTTTGCACACAAGAATCTCCTAAAGCCAATTCTGGGTGGCGGAGATATGGTCGGTTGAAGTAGGGCATCAATCCGGTTGGACCGAATCTGCGCAGTTTCACCAAAACTGGCATAACGTTTTGCAAAGGAGGAATTTTAATGCAAGGTTTGCTGCATTGGAAAGCTAACTTCAAGGGCTTCATGGACAACCAGCTTTGGAGCTTGAACCTTTTGACCCCTGGTCGGCCGACCAGGGTAAGTGGCTGGCCGACCACTTGAACTGGTCGGCTAGCTCTCAGCTAATTTGTCTCTGTAAGTGTGTTCCAGCTGTGCCAGCTGGGAGCCATTTGCTGCATCCCCCATACACGTGTATGGAGGATGTTCAACCTAGCTTTCAAGCTTCTTGGAGAAGCTTTAGACCTTCTCCTCTATAAAGGAAAGGGCCCTCTTCCATTGCTAGGGTTCAGAATTTCCAAAGGCTCATACACATACACTCCTCCATATCTCTTTATTCCAAGCTCCAAAAACCCTTATTCTTGGTCCCATTGCACCACACCTCCTAGCACAACACCTCCACCATCCATCCAAGCACCTTGGAGCTGATTTTCAAAGGTTAAAGACTCACTATTTTGGTCCAGAAGCTGTTGGCTTCTTCTCTTTAAGGGTAAGCCTCCATTTCCCCCATTTTGACATTGTTTTGCTCCATAGTTTATCCCTATTTGCAAGCATTTTTGGACTTCGACATAAACTAAAAAGAGTCTTATTTTGAGCCCCTCTTGATGTTTGATTAAGGGCATTTTTCTGTTTGAGGTCATTTACTTCCTTGTATGCTTGTTTGCCTCTTGTTTTGAGCCTTACATCTAGGCCTTGTTGCATGCTTTGTTTGGCCTTCTAGCCACTGAAACATACTGTTTTGAGAGCCAAAATCAGAGGGGGTAACCCCCTCTCTCCTTGTCTTGTTTGTTGGCCCTTTTGGCCTTCCAAAGGGGCTCCATCTTACATGCTTTGAAGTCTTGTTTCAGGCCCTATTATGTGAGTTTTGAGGTCTGCCTTAGCTCTGTCTGGAGCCCTTTTGGCCATATTTTGTGTCCCTCATGCATGTGTGGAGCAATCCTCCTCAAGGCCTTTCAAGGGGACCTTTCATTGCATGTTTCATTGACCCATTTCAGGGCCTTTTTGGTGAGTTTTAGGGCTGTCATAATTGATTTCCAGAGTTGGTTATGCCATTTTACATGTCTATCTTGTATGTGTTGAGTAATCCACCTCATGGCCCTCCAAAGGAGCCCATCATTTTTGAATGCATTAGATACATTTCAGTGGTTATTTGGGCCTATTTTAGCATACCATGTTCCTATTTGTGGCTGGTTTGGTGACCACTCTTGTGCTTCATATACATGCCATGTAAACCATGCTTACTAGCATATGTCGCATGTTGTTTTAGCCCTTCATGTTAGCCTTTTTTGGCCATGCTTAGAACTAATATTGTGCTTATTTTGGACTGCCCTAGCTCTGTTTTTGGGTCTCATGGTTGAATAATGTTGGTTTTGCATGCTTGTAGTTCAATACCCATGCTTAACTTTGAGTTTTGAGGCTCATTACATGCATATACTGAGGTGTGTTCATGTTTTGGGTCCATTTTACATCATATTTCAGAGCTTGTATCAATGCCATATTGCCATGTTTTATACTCCTTAAATGTGCTTGAGAGTTGTCCATGAATGCCTTGTTTTCGGGCCATTGAATGAGGTCCATTTCGTTGCATTACGAGCCATCATTTTAGGTCATTTCCCCACTATTTCAGACCTGCCTAGGGTCTGTTTGGTGTTGGTTTTGCCTTTGGTGCATTGCTTTGGGTACCTCTAGTCTAACGTACTTCACTAGTTTCGGTACCCGGGCCCCCCCTAGCTTGCATTGTGTGCCATGTTTCCATGATTTGGGACCTTTGAGCATCTTATTTCAGAGCTGAAAATTGCATGTTTGTATGCCATCTTTCATCCCTTGACATGCTTTGGTAGAGTGGCATTTGATGCCTTAGGATCGGTCCCTTGCATCGTGCATGTTTGCATGTGTTTCGGTTGTCTCATTTCCATCTTATGGCCACTGATGTGGGTGTGGCTGAGGTCCACTCATATTGGTGTAAGTCCATCTTGCATTGAGCATGCCAGTTAGTTCATGTTGTTGCATG